AGATTCTGATATGTTGTATTGTCATTGTCATTTAATTGAAGGAACTGTCTGATTTCTTCTTTAATTTCCTCTGTGACCCTTTGGTTATTCAGAAGTGTGTTGTTCATTTTCCATGTGTTTATGAAATTCTTGTGGGTTCTTTTGCTGTTGATCTCCAATTTCATCGCACTCTGGTCTGATAATATACAGGGGATAACTTCAGTTCCTTTGCAATTAATTAAACATGTTCTATGAGCGAGTATGTGGTCTGTTTTGGAGAATGACCCGTGTGCAGCTGAAAAGATTGTGTATTCTGATTTTGTAGGGTGGAACACTCTGCAAACATCTGTTAAGTTCTTTTGTTCAAGAGTTTGATTGAGTTCCAGTATTTTGTTGCTTATTTTTTGTCTAGTTTTTCTATCTATTTGTGACAGTGGGGTATTGAGGTCCCCCACTACTATTGTAGTAGTGCTTATTTGATTTTTCATGTCTGTTAATATTTGTTTTATATAGTTGGGTGCAAGAGAGTTTGGTGCATATATATTTATGATTGTCATCTCTTTCTCTTGGATTCTTCCCTTTACAAGGATGTAGTGTCCTTCTTTGTCTCTCTTAATCAGTGCTGGTTTGAAATCCACTTGATCTGCAAAGAGGATAGCTACTCCTGCTTATTTTCGGGTTCCTCTCACATGGAGGATTGTTTTCCACCCTTTAACTTTCAGTCTATGAGTTTCTCTTTGAATTAAGTGTGTTTCTTGTATGCAGTATATTGTTGGATTGCTTCTTGACCCATTCTGCCAGTCTATTTCTTTTGACTGGTGAACTGAGACCATTAACATTGATGGTTATAACTGATACGTATTGATTTCTCACTGTCATGACTTTTTCTTTTTGTTGGAATCTCCCCTTTTGCATTTAATTTCTTGTTGTGCCCGATGGGTTCATTCTGCTGGGGTTCCTGGGGTTGTGATCCTCATTGTCTTTTTTTGGAGTGCTGGTTTGGTATTCATGAAGTTCCTAAGGTGCTCTTTGCATGAAAGTATCTTATTTCTCCATCAATTTTGAAAGATAGTTTTGTGGGTACATCAATCTGGGTTGGAGGCTGTTTTCCTTTAGGGTTTGGACTATGTCACTCCAAGCTCTTCTTGCCTTGAGGGTTTGCACTGAGAAATCTGCTGTGATTCTGATGGGCTTTTCTTTGTATGTGATTTGTTTCTTTTCTCTGCTTGCAGAATTGTGTTCTTCTGTTGGGTTTCTGGAATTTTAACTATTATATGCCTATGTGTAGATTATTTTTGATCAACGCTAGTTGGAGTCCTATATGCCTCTCTTATCTCTATGTCAAGTTCTTTTCCCCTGCTAGGGAGGTTTTCTGCCATCACTTCTGTGAACAGTTTTTCATGTCATCTACACTCTCCAGTTTCTTCATTGACTCCAATCAGTTTTATGTTATTCTTCTTTGCATCATCTAGCAGCTGCTGGATTGATTTCTCGTGTTCCCTTACAATTTTAAAGCAATTTTTCTTTTCTTGGTCACTAATTGCAATCTTATCTTCCATATCTGAAATTCTGTCCTCACACTGGCTCATTCTGCTGTGTAGACTTCCAATGGAGTTTTTAATTTCCTGGAAATTTGTTTTTATGGATTCTGTTTGTTTCCTATGTTGGGATTCCATCATCTTCCTCAGATCCTCTATTTTTTTAATCTGTGTCCTCTCTAGATTTATTAATCATGTCTTGCACTATGGGCACAATCTCTGCTGTAATCTGAGAAATTATTTCTGATTTCATTTTTTCCAGATCCTCTTTTGTTGCCAGTTCAGGGAGTCCAGGTGGTTTAGTATCAGAGTGTTCCATGTCGTTTCCCTTTGGGATTGCTGCAGGTGATCTGAAAGTCTGGTTTTGGGGCTTGTTTACATGTGTTCTCATTTTGTCATGGCAGGGGGGATGCTGCTCCTCTGTGCTGGGAGTGGTGGTATGGCGGCTCAGAAGCCTCTTCCTTTGCACTGGGAGTGGTGCTACCGAGTAAGGGCATTTTCACATCAAGACACCCAGCCAGGTCTGGGTCATTCCTGCAGGAGGGCTGTGAACATCCACCCATGTGCAGTACTGTTTTGTACGGTGAGGAGTCACCAACCCTGATTCGACAGGAGGCTGAGGAATCATGCCTGGGACTACTTTACTTTCTAGGTGAGGAAAAGCAGGTCACATGGATTAACTAGATTTTTAGCTAAACTAAAGCTGGATGACAATTTTTATCTCATTCTCAGAGGGTTTTTCTTTAGAGGGAAAGACAAAATACATCCTCCCTTACCTTCCAGGAAAGAACTGCAAAAATCATCCCCAAATACTGGTCAAGAAAACAGGGACTCCAGACTCTGATGGCTCATGGCAACACAGCGGGACACAGGGCCAGCAAATCATGGCCCATGCCTAAATGCAGCTCTTGGCTTTTTTGTGAGTAAGATGTCTCCCTGAGCACAGCTGGCTGGCTTGGTCACATGTTATCTCTGTCTGCTTTTTCAGTTCAACAGCACAGAGTCAGTCAATGCCTTGACTATCAGCCTCGACAAAGAAGCCTGTTGCCCTCTGCCATCTAAGAAACTCTTTCAAATATCCCTCATTCGCTACCCCAAGAGAGGGCTACAAACTCAGCACAAACGGTGTTGTCTGGCTTCAAAGGAAGGAAAACAAAACGTTTAACAGCAGCATGACCGCAGCCCAGCCAGGACCCTTCTATTTACCTGAATTCTGTCTTTAAGTAATGGTTTCCTCGTTCCAGACAGGTTATTAAATCTGTCACAAATAAAGATAATTGAAATCAGCAGACTATGTAGAAATTAGGGAACTTATGCTTAAAGACTTCTTTTAAATAAAAAAGGCAACTTTTAAAGGAATTTATTCATTATCTAGTTACGTGGATTTTCTGTTCTCTATTGTCAATGATGGTTTTTCACTGTTATCATGGAGTGAACAATAACATACTCTATTTCCAACAGAAAACCCAACACCGATTAGTTATTCTTCACTACATACCTGCAAAAATCACGTGTGAAAGGCAGGATCCCTGACAGTGGAAAGCCATCTCTAAAGCCAGTGTGGCACACCGCGAAGGCTCCCGGGAACCTTCTGACCCACTGACTTAGCCAGCGGCAGCAAGGGACACAGTGGATGCCTCTACAGAGCTGGCAGCACACCAGCCTGGGGTCCTGGGGCCCAAGCACTTATGAGACAATGCTCCCCAGAGTTATTTGCACAAGTGACCCAATGCTCACACAGGGGGAGCTAAGGTCCTGATGCAGGATATAAATCTATGCTGAATATCTCATTCTTGCAGTAATAGTTCTTTCTCTTGATAAACTTCAAGTGTCTTAGGGCACAACATATGGAGCCATGAAGGAAATGAATGGTGTCCCCCCTTCCCAGGCTGTTTTGCCGAGGGGAGTGACACCACACTGTGTGGCCCCTCTGTAGCCCCAGGCAGATGGGAAACTGTACACAGCTGGGCTGGGGTCCAGTGCTCATGGCCAATATTCATGCTTCCTGCCTCCTCTCCACTCCGTGGCGGGGCACTGGTGTGGCTGGGGTGGCTGGTGTGGGGTCCCTAGTTGAAAGGCTTAGGGTCTGGGCAAGGAAAGAGTTGGAGCACAGCCAGGGGCCAGGAGCGCTGGGAGGGGACCCCAGAGACATGGGACCCAAGTCTTCCAGGGAAAATGGGACCCAGCCTACGCCACACAGGTCAGCAGACCCATCCACCAATGCTACAGAACAGCTCAGCTCAGGCTAAACTCACAAGGACACTGTGTTCTCCTCCCTCACATCTTAATCCTCATCTGAGAACACAGTTCTGTCTGAGCAGGGGATGAGCAGCACCAGGAACTCTTAGGTATGCATGGATTCTTCTGCCATACCTGGGTGGTCGCTGCTGGCGTAGTTCAGCAGGAAGCCCCGGCCAGAGATGTGGGATCCACTCTGAAAGTGCACAGTTACTTCGCTGGTGTTAAGCAGGAGCTTTCTGGGAACGGTCACACTTCTGCAGTATGGACCTAAACACAGAGCACATGTGGGCACATTTCACTTCTAATCAGCACGAAGAAGAGCTGTGTGGCTGTTCTCCCAACAGGCAGATTCCCATGTAACACATGTAAGACTCTGATCCGTACCTGCTGGAGTTTTGCTCCATACTGAGAGGGAAAATCTGCGACTGATTTGTGAACTTTGTTAGACTGCTGGGCCAAAGAGGGGAAAGTGGCTCAGTCTGGATGAGCAACAGGCTGGATGGAGCTGGTTAATTAGGAACAAACCAAGACGCAGGTTTTAATTTTGGAAAAAGATTTCTAACAGACACAAATTCAAAAACTTTAGGTAGCAAACAGAATGTTATACAAAAACATATTCTAGAATCTTCCTAAATTTGCTCAAAGAAACACAAATTCCATGGAAGATCCAGGAAGGAGTCTAACACACAGAAAAATCTCTGGCACAGACCGTGTTCATATTTGTATCTCTTTTACAGTAACAGTGTATTTTGTTCTGTAAAATGAGGTTTATACTAAAGCAGAATAATTTCTAAAGGTTTTCCCAATACCATAAGTATAAATTACGCAGTTAAGTGTATAACACTGTTTCTAGAGGAAGTTGCTTGAAAAGCAATAGGAATCTCAATGAACTTTCAAAGAACAAAATTAGACTAAGGGCAGCAATGGTAAACTTAGGTCACTCGTGCTGCAGCAGGCTATTTGCTATTGGTGAAAGCTCTAAAGGTTTGCTATCACTGGCCTAGGCGCTTAGAAAAACAAAACCATAAAGCCCTTCCTAAGACTGCTCAAGCAAAAGTTTAGTTTGTAAACTGTCATCTCAAAAGTCCTGTGCATAAGGTTCTATAAAATAGGGATTAGCAAGTGACTTTTAAAGACAAGTATTTGAATGTCACTAACTTCTGTCAAAATAGCATGGAGACAGTTAACAGGGACAACAATGGCATGAACAAGGGGAGGAGTGGAAGACCACTCTGGTTCCAGATGAGTAAGACTGGGCTTGGCAACCAGAACCAATGTGGGGACCAACTCACATGCAGGAGAATATCTCGAACCCAGCCCGATGCGCCTCTCCTGCTATGACGCATCGGACCTCTCCTGTCGAGTCCCGGAAGTTCCACGGGATGGGGCGAGTGAGTGCTGGGTGCTCACCCGCACCCCTCAGTGGCAGCTGTTCCCCATTACTAAGTTATAGCAAAATCCAAATGAAAAAAAACCCCTCTTTAGAACTCTCATATATAATTAATTACATGACCTAATACTTGTAAATCACTTAGAAGGGTATATTCAGCACATTCCAAGAGCCATGCAGGTGCCTGCTAGCAAACAAATAAGTTTATGATATTAATGCCCATTTTCTCTTTAGACTGTGTTCTATGGAGCAAGCGTGTTTTATATCTGTCTCTTTATCTCCAGAAGGTGGTACAGTACCTGGCAGTGGCAGCCCCTCAAATACCGTTGAATGGAACTGAAATTTTTTACTTGCAACAGTTTGAAAAAGCCAACCCAAACGAAAAGATATATTTTGTCTCCTTAAAATACCATGGAGAAGTCAATAGATAAGGAGAAGCGAGAAAAAAAAGCGTAATGGGTAATACAGGTTTCTATAGAGTTTAACGTGTTTATAAGTATTGTAGACAGGCAATCTAAGACGGAATCGCTCCTTGTATAATGAACTCCAAGAAGAACTGTTGCAAGATTAAAGTGAGTCAGGTTACTGTGCTTAACTTTTCCAACTTGCTGTTTGTTTTACCTATGTCTGAAACACCTTTGCTCTTTGTGCAGGTAACAGATGAAGAATTGCTTTATAACCAAAGGATTAAAATGAAATAACCATCACTTGTTGCTATTACTAAATTAGAATACACCTCTACCCACATTTACCCACTTTTATACTTACCAACCTACTCCTCCAGTGTCGACACTACCCTCCTGCTATGGTTTAGCCCTAAAGTGTCCCCTGAAGTCTCGGGGTTGGGGAGGGTGCGTGGGTCTGGGTGCCCTGCTCATCCCTGATTTCCGGGCCAAGCGTGCTGGAGGTCACGGGTGTGACCTGAAGGGCAACTTTGTACCCAGCTCTTCCCTGCTCTCCCTGGTCTTGGCTCTGCCTCCTGGCCGCTATGGGTGGAGCCTTCTTCTGCCAGCCTTTCCACTGTGCTGCTCTGCCTCAGAGCCAGGTGGTAACCCCCCTGAGACTGTGGCCTAAAGAACCCTCTCCTCCTCAAGTCCTGGGTGTCAGGTGTTTGTCCTGCTGATGGGGAAGTGACTAAGACATCTCTGCCTAACTTTCTTTTTTTTTTCGTACTGGGGATCGAACTTGGGTCCTTGCACTTGCAGAGCAGGCGGCGAAACCACTGAGATAAATCCCCGGCCCGAATGCCTCACTTTCTATAGCAGTCCCCTGAGCGCTAATGGATCCAAATTTATTTGAATTATTTTTTTTAGTTTTTGTGGGTGGAAGAGCTGAAAGGAGGGCTGCAGAACTGTACATATTTTACAAAAGTAGATGAGTATATGTATGTCCTCTCAGTAAGGTGCACAATGTGTATGATTCCCTACACCAAAGCACACAATTACAATAAACCTCTGGTTCGGTTTCCCCTCCTCTCACCGCCCTGACCCCAGACACACTTCCCTCCACACCCTTTCCAAGGTGCTGCAGAGCCCTAACTGAATGAGGGAGCAGGCAAGGCCCTTTCCGTGGGAAGGACATCATCCAGGCACCCTCAAGGGTCTAACACACCACGCCTCACTGCGGCAGGAGGGACTGTCAGGCTCAGGCAAGGACCGGCTGCCGGGCAGCTGACTCCAGCCCTGACAGATACAGGCTCCTCCGCCCAGACACAGGTGAGTAACTACAGGCCTAGAGCAGGAAGAGACAAAGGGCGAGACAGCAAAGCAGGACAGGCAGTGCAGAGAGACCGTCCAGGTGTGTCCTTCGGGGGTCTCAGCCTTTGCCGACCCCTGAGGACAGATTCTTCTGATGGGAGACTTCCACCATGCTGGCCACACCCAGCTAGTACCAGGACTCCAGATCCACCCTGGCCTGCCCTGCCCTGCCCTTATCTGCAGGTGGGCTGAGTCTTGCCCTGTGTCGCAGATTCCCAGCCAGCCAGCCAGCCCACGCTGCTGTTCTTAGCTGGAGAGTCAAATAGAAAACAGTTCCTTTCATGGACTGTGCCAGGGGCTGAGAGCTGCAAGAGAGGCAGCACCATGGTGCTTGGTACCAGGCCCGAGACCCAGCCTGGCAGATGGCGAGCTGACTTCTTGGACAGGAGGAATAAAGGCCCAAGAGCCACAGGAGCTGCCTTCCAGGGCACAGCAGGCCAGGTCCACGCAACACTTCCCTTGCTTGGGGCCACTGTTCCAGCCACAGCTGAGAAGGCCCCTTCATCTTTCCACACGAGTAAGAGCGCTGTCCTGCAGGAAGGAAAAGCGGCCTCTCCCAGCCCGGCCCAGCCCAGAATCCCGGTGTCTGGCAGTGGGGTGCAGGCAGTGATTCGCACACTTCTCCTGCCCACTGCCAAGTGCCCACCGCCATCTACCCGAGACCAGCCTTACAGGCAGTGCAGGCTGGGTAGAAGCTGTCCAGTCATCTCAGATGGCTGTGTGGTTCTGATCTTGAAACTGATGGAACAAAGTGAATGCTTCTGTGAGAGGGATTTAGAAGCATTTTAAAAGACATTATACACACCACTCACAAAAACAAAGAAACCCTTTGCCTCCACAGCTGCACCATCAGCGACAGAAATGCAGACACCGTGGAGAATGAACTCCAGCAGGCCTTTGCAGCCCCAGATTAGCCTCTGGAGCCCTTTCGAAGTACTCGTGTAACTTTTCATCACAGACAAGAGTGTGCTGGTGGACTGCAGGGACCGTCCTTGGACACAGGCAGCCAAGGGCCCTACCACCAGGGGCCAGGAAAGTGTCCCCAGTGTACCCCAGAGCTGTGGCTTGTGGCATGTGGACTCGACAGGTCTCGACACACTGACACTGCACATGCACTGGAGTCCCATCCACTTCCCATCTGCTCCCCAGTGCAGGCAAATGGCAGGGTTCACCCTTGCTTGCCAAGTGCACAAGGATCATTGTACAAAAGCACAATTTCCAGGGCCCTTTTCTTTGAAAAGGAAGGAAATTAGCATTAGAAAGGGATATTCCTGGGCCATGCCATTGAAACCACAGTCAGGGGGTACCGTGGCACCTCCCTGGAGTTTCCGAGCCTGGCTCCTGACAAAAGCCAGCGACAGAGGATAAAAGAGCCTTTGGATTCCTAGACCGAGGTGTGGGGCCCAGGGCAGGGGGCTCAGCACCAGGGCTGCCTGCCCACCTGAGCCACCAGCTCTCCAGACCAAGTCCACTGGGAAGGGAGGACAGGCCAGCTGCCCTCCCCCAGGGGCCTGTGGCTGTGTTAATGCAATACCAGACGGAAGATCTGCTGGTAGGACTCTTTATATGCTGCAAATGCCTTTGAACTGGTTTCCCAGTACACTTCTAAGAATTCTGCATTCTACTCCTTAATATGCCTGAGAGATACAACTATTTGTGAAACAGAGAGTTCCAGTCTTGCCTGTTTCTCTTTGGGATTTAAAAATAATCAGAAGGCATGACGACAAGATCCAGCTGCACTAGGTCAGTCGTGTCACTGAGAAATCCGGGTATGAGTCAAACTCTTCCTACGATTTCCTACATTTGCCAATTGTCTGTTTCCAGTGTAACACAAACATTAACCGCTGGCTTCACATCACTGTCCTTAGAGGACACTGACAATGGCTTGATCCTGGGGTTGCAGGAAACGTAGGACTTCCTGATTTCCTACAACTCAAATCATGCAGCAGAATGCAATTCACTGCACGGACTGCGAGGAGGATCCCTCAGTAAGCTGCTTCCTCCTCGCCCTGGACTGCCGTGTCCTCCTAGGAGTTTGATTAAACTTTACACCAGGACTCTCTGCAAGTGAGCAGCTTCTCAGTACCCCATTTAATCTTAGGGTGTCCCTTGGGGGGGCC